TGATGGAGGAGGTGAGGATGGACTCGATGATTGCAGTGTAGAATTGCATCATCGTCCGTGTTGGCAGGTTGAATTTCTTCAGCTGCCTCAGGAAGTACATCCTCTGCTGGGCTTTCTTAATGACGGAGGTGATGGTGGGCTCCCACTTCAGATCCTGGGTGATGGTGGTACCCAGGAAGTGGAATGAGTCCACAGTGGTGATGAGGGTGTCAGTCAGGATGATGTGGGGGCTGTGTGCTTCCTGAAGTCCACAATAATTTCCACTGTCATTGTTTAGCACCAGGTTGTTGCGGCTGCACCAGGACACCAGACGTTCAACCTCCATCCTGTAGGCAGACTCATCCCTGTCCGAGATGAGCCGATAACAGTGGTGTCATCTGCAAACTTCACTAGCTTGACAGACTAGTGGTTGGAGGTGCAGCATTTGGTGTACAGCAGGGGTGGGCAACTCCAGGCCTCGAGGGCTGGTGTCCTGCAGATTGGAGATTTGTCCTTGATCCAACACAGCTGATTCAAATGGCTAAATTACTTCCTCAATGTATTTTGTAGTTCTCCAGAGGCCTGGTAATAAACTAATTCTTTGATTCAGGTGTGTTGACCCAGGGTGAGATGTAAAACCTGCAGGACACCGGTGCTCGAGGCCTGGAGTTGCCCACCCTGGAGTACAGGGAGAAGAGCAAAGGACAATTAGTGGATGACTATGGTAGAGGACTCATTTTCACAGGAAGTAAAGTCTATTTATTAAGTGCTTTTCATAGTCACAAAGCGCTGTACACAAAGATTAAATTAAACAGTTCGATAAATAGCAAATTATATACACAATATAGAGGTTATGTCATGGTCCTGGGCCATGTTGGCCCAGTATTCTTGTTTCCTTGTATTTTCGCTCCTTATTTAGGCCATGTTTTCTGAGGTGTCCTGTTGTGGTGTTCCCTAAGTGTTTTCCCTTTGTGACTCTTACCCCCTTTGTGCCCCTCTGTGTATTTATGAGCTCTCGTCTCTCTTTGTGTTTATTCCATGTTTCCCCCAGCCTGTTATGTCTGTGTTCTCCCCGTGCTCTCTCTCCTCCTGTCTGAACCTCTGTGTACTTCCTGTTTTACTTTGACAGTCTCTCGTCAGTATGCGTCATGTTGTGTTCACTCCTGCCCTGTCTCGTTATGTTTATCAGTGTCACCTGTGTTCCCCACCTGTGTGTAATCTCCCTGTGTTCTCTGAGTGTATTTAAGTTGTGTCTTCTGTCATGGTAATTGCTGGTTCGTCTGTGTTGTTTCCCCTCGGTCTCCCTGCGTCTCCCCGTATGTATTTCTCCGGACCTCCCTGCATCCTCATTCTGGTTTGTCTTATTAGTTTACCCAGTTTAGGTTTCCGGTTTCATGTTTTGTCGCCACCGCTGTTTGTACGTACACCCCTGTCAATAAACACTCACCTGCACCAGAGCTGCCGCCTTTTGGGTCCTTTTCTACATCTCCACACGGCTTGCCCCGCAAACCGTGACAGGTTAAATGTAAATTAAAAATGTAAAAAGCATTGGTCAACAGAAAGCTTGTTTAAACAGTAAAGTTTTTAACTGCTTTTCAAAGGATTCCACAGAGTCAACCAAACGTAGTTGTGGAGGTAGACTGTTCCACAGCGTTGGTGCCACAGACTGAAAGGCTCCGCCCCCTTTCATCTTCAGTCGTGTTCGGGGAGCAACCAACCAACTCTGAGCCTGTGAGCGGAGACAACGAGGAGCAGTGTATTTTGTGAGAAGCTTGGATAAATAATCTGGTGCCTGGCCATGTACTGCTCTGTACGTTAAAACAATAATTTTAAAGGGAATTCTAAAATCTATTGGGAGCCAATGTAAAGAACATAAAATACGAGTGATGTGAACTCGCTTGCAAGAGCGAGTTAGTAGTCTGGCTGCTGCATTTTGTACAGAGATGATTTATCCAAGCTGGTAAACAGGGAATTACAATAGTCTAAACGCAATGACACAAATGCATGGCCAATTTTTTCCAGTTCAGCTAAGGAGACCATATGTCGCAGTTTAGAAATATTCCTTAAATGAAAGAAACAGGAACGAGACAGAGACTTTACGTGTGAGTCAAGGCCCAAAGAAGAGTCAAATATTACTCCAAGATTTCAAATATTTGGCTCAGCAGAAAAACAGAAAGGGCCAAGAACCTGAATGATTTTAGAATATAGATCAGGAGATGCTATGATCATGGTCTCTGTCTTGTTCATGTTTAAAACAATGTAATTGTTAGAAAGCCAATCAGAAACCTGGGTTGAGCACTGGACTAGGATGGACAGCGTATCCAGTTGATTAGGCTTAAAGGACATATACAGCTGAATGTCATCAGCATAGAAATGATAAGACAGGTCACTAAAAGACTGAATAATGCAGCTAAAGGAAGCATGTAAAAGAAAATACTAATGGACCCAAGCTCCAAGCATCCCCACAAAGGTCAGTCTTCTGTTGTAGTTATTACGTAATTTATCATAACATAATTGTTGATGTCTCACATTCTTCACCCAGCATTTCAGTGGCTCCCCTCTGGGCGACGCCTCCGCTGCATTTCCTGCAGGACTGAGAGGAGGAGAGCCACCTTCGTTCCCAAAGCCACTCTGCTTTTTAACTCATTTCCCACACCATAAACATAAACTACTCTACACTCTTTTATACTGCCGACACTTTATTTTTATTTATTTTTTGCATTGTTGATTTGTTTTTCACCGAAGCAGCTAATAAAGCACCGTCCTCCCACCGTCCAAAGACATGCAGCTTGTGGGGATAGGTTAATTGGATAATCCAAATTGTCACTAGGTGTGAATGTGCGAATGAATGTGAGTGCGAATGGTTGTCTGTTCCTGTGTGTTGGCCCTGTGACAGACTGGTGACCTGTCCAGGGTGTACCCCGCCTCTCGCCCTATGACAGCACCCCCCGCGACCCTGAAAAGGATAAGCGGAAGCGAATGGATGGAATGGATAGATGTATGTGTTAGGTTTGTCAAACATGTTTACCGCACAGCTCAAAATTCTTCTCAATTTTCCTGGATATTTAGTCTTTTTGTGGTAAATTGCTTGTACCTAAATGTTCTCCCAAAATAGTTGATTCTGTACCATTCACAGAGAGTTGGGGAATGGCTGCAATCCCAGCACTGTAAGATGGTGAATGATGTACCCTTAGGCCCCCTCCTCGATTCAGAGATGGTTCTTCTATTTTCATGTACTTCTTCAGAAGTCACTTGGATGAGTGACGAAATGTTACCTCCAGATGAATAGAATCAACATTTTGGGATTTACTTACGTGGATGACTGACCATGCATCAAGACACCTTAATGTTGCATGTGCAACAGATGTGGTAAAAAGTAATGTTATTTTTAAATTGTATTCTGCTTATAGTTAGTACTTGAAGTGGATTGTCTGTTCAGCAGATGATTTAATGGGTAAATGAATAATTGATCAGGAGTTTCCAGACAAAAATATATATTGCTAAATAAATGTTATATAAAAATGAATGAAAATATTTCTGTTGGTTCATTTAAACTGTTCAGACCCCAGATTTATTGGATCATGGAGGTAGTGGACCTCCTGCTACTTTAGTTGGGGACCCCTGCCCTACTATAATACATACAAATAAATCCAACAATCCCTTTGGTGACAACGGGAAGGAAAATCTCCCTTTTAACAGGTGACTGAAAGGTGACTAAGGAAGAAATACTCAATGCATCATGGGAAACCACCCAGCAGCCTACACCTATTGCAGCATAACTAAGGGAAGATTCAGGGTCACCTGTCTAGTCATAACTATATGTTTTAGTAAAAGGGAAAGTTTTAAGTCTAATCTTAAAAGTAGACACAGTGTCTGCCTCACGAATCCCAACTGGAAGACAGAGGGGCCTAAAAAAGCAGAGGGGCTTGGGAAATCTTTTTGTAGCCTAAGCCTGCTTTAAATTTCTCAATAACTTTATCCCTGACCTGTCTGGTGTGTTCTTTGGACTTCATGGTGTTGTTGCTCCCAATATTCTCTTAGACAACCTCTGAGGCCGTCACAGAGCAGCTGTATTTGTACTGACATTAGATTACACACAGGTGCACTCCGTTTAGTCATTCGCACTCATCAGGCAACGTCTATGGGCAACTGACTGCACTCAGACCAAAGGGGCTGAATAATTACGCACACCCCACTTTGCAGTTATTGATTTGTAAAAAATGTTTGGAATCATGTATGATTTTGGTTCCACTTCTCACGTGTGCACCACTTTGTGTTGGTCTTTCACCTGGAATTCCAATAAAACTGATTTGTTTGTGGCTGTAATGTGACAAAATGTGAGAAAAGTTCAAGGGGACCGAATATGTTTGCAAGACACTGTATTAGCAAAAGACAAGAGTGGGTTTACAGGAAACACTGTTAAATGGCCAGAGGGGCCGATGGCGCGATATGGCAGCCTCGCTTCTGTCAGTCTGCCCCAGGGCAGCTGTGGCTACAACCGTAGCTTGCCTCCACCAGTGTATGAATGTGAGAGTGAATGAATAGTGGCATTGTAAAGCGCTTTGGGTGCCTTGAAAAGCGCTATATAAATCCAATCCATTATTATTATTATAAATGTTCAGTTTCTATGCCATATGTTAAAACAAGTTCTAGAGTGTGATTAACGTGATGGGTGGGTTCTTTTACATTCAAGATCAACAAAAGTGGCCAAGAAAAGATTGAGACCCATCAAACCAGGCAACATTTTTCAATCTCTGCAACATTCAGATTTTAGGGGCAGAATTTGTCTTAAACAACATAAAGCATGGATCCATCCTGCCGCTGGTGTAATAGCGTGGAGATATTTGGTTTGCACAATGTGGGTCCCTTAGTACCAACTGACATCATTTACAGACCACAGCCTACCTGAGTCTCAAGATGTGACAATATCCTTTATATCATATAGTCTATGTTACGTTATAATTATAGTTGTGGAGCCACAAGTTTGCCTCTCTTTCGTCCACTTTTGTCTCTACGCAACGTTACTTTTTATCGCGAACGTCGCCTGAAAAAAAACAAAAAACAAAACATTATCTGTGTCAACATCCAGGACTAAGAAAAGACAAGACATAAAATAACATCCATTTACTGTTTGCTTTATAATACTCAGCTTAATGTGTTGCAAAAACTATAATAGAAACAATACTGCAATAACACTAATGTAATTCTCAACTGCTACCACTAAAATACTGTAATTCAAATCTGAATAATCACTCAGAGCTGCTTTTCCATGCAGCAGAAATGCAAACATGTTGCTAACAGTTGTTTCAGACAGTCAGACTAAAATCACGAGATAAAAATAAAAATACCTCACAGCAACTGCACTTGTAGAGTCTTTCTAGTGTGGATCTGTTGGTGTCGTCTCAGGTAACGTGGAGATTTAAAAGTCTTCTCACACAGGTCACATTTATAAGGTCTCTCCTCAGTGTGGGTAAACATGTGGTGTTGTAACTCTGTGCCTGTTAAACATAGTTTACCACACTGATCACAGCTGTACACATCATGTCTGGTGTGAATGCGTAGGTGAATATTTCTGTACCCTACATGGCTGAAAGTTTTTCCACAAATGTCACAGCTGTATGCCTTAATTCCAGAGTGGGTAACTAGATGACTCCGTAAGCTGCTACTGTGAGTAAAAGCTCTGCCACACTGATCACAGCTGTACGCTTTAAGTCCACTGTGGATGAGATGGTGTCTTTTTAGGGCTTTCTTCCAGGAAAAAGACTTTCCACACAAGTCACAGCTGAACGGTCTCTCTCCAGTGTGGATGACCTGATGGATTTGTAGTGAATCCTTCTTAATAAAATCCTTCCCACACTCTTCACAGCTGTACGCTTTAACTCCACCGTGGAGGAATTGGTGTGTTTTTAAGCTTCCAGACTGGGTAAAAGACTTTCCACACTCATCACAGCTGAATGGTCTCTCTCCAGTGTGGATCAGTTGGTGTGTTTTTAAGTTTCCAGGGTAGGTAAAAGACTTTCCACAGTCTCCACAGCTGAACGGTCTCTCTCCAGTGTGGATCAGTTGGTGTGCTTTTAAGTTTCCAGAGTGGGTAAAAGACTTTCCACAGTCTCCACAGCTGAACGGTCTCTCTCCAGTGTGGATCAGTTGGTGTGTTTTTAAGCTTCCAGACTGGGTAAAAGACTTTCCACAGTCGTCACAGCTGAACGGTCTCTCTCCACTGTGGATGAGTTGGTGTCTTTTTAGGGAACGCGCCCAGGGAAAAGATTTTCCACACTCGTCACAGGTGTATTTCTTCTTCCCCTTTGTTCTGTGAGGTTTGTCAGCCTCCTGAGAGCGCTGACTTCTCGCTCCATATTGGTCCTGCAGTGACAGATATACAAACACAGGCAGTGAGTGAAATGTAGGGCTGGGCATCGTCACTGATTTCGATTCGGGGAAATTTTGCGTCACACAATCAGATATATTAGAATTCTGATCATTACCTATCAGTACATATCCATATTTTACATTTCTAAAACGAAAGCTGACACTTGTGAGACTTCATCAGAGGTGTAAGCATCACAGCAGATGCCTTTGTGTCAAAGTAACTGAGGATAAAACAGAAAAAAAATGAAGGAGATTTTCCTGGTCTGAGTATAAAAATATTCTGCAGTGGATCAAACACGAAAGAAAACCATGAATCAACATATGAACATTACCTGATGCTGCTGAAGTGAAGCAGAGCAAAGTTACAGAGGGTTTATTAGAGACACAGCTAAATGTTTTGCATAATTTTAAAAAGTTTACATTTGTTCTGTATTGAACAGCAGAAATTAGGTTTTGTTGCTGGAAGGAAAAAAAGAAACAAAGAAACAAAATCAAAAAAGAAACAGCGCCCAACAGCGCTGTAAACAACAGTCTTCTTTTGCTGCTGGTTCAGTCAAGTATGTTTGGAGAGTGACAAAACCTGCACCTTCAGAATCTAGCGCCAAAAAAGATGTAAACATAAGAGGCGGACCCGCCGACGCATCAGAATCAGTGAGCTGCCGGCTTTCAGCCCCGACGTCTTTGTTTACGTCTTTGTGCAGAATCCGTGTAACTGCTCTCATTTACTGTTTTAGCTGTTTGGTGTTTCTGGCGTTTCAGGCAAAATTTATTCATATTTAAAAATCGTTTCAGGATTTTAATGGATCAATATCACGTTATCCAACCTAGAATCGATTTTAATCGATAATCAAAACCCTCCCCCAGTGAAATGCAGTCGTGGAACAAACTGTCATTACTTTTCAACACAGTCCTCTTTGGTGACATCTGCTGGTCAAAATATGAAGCGCAGCTTGAATCTACAAATTATAATGAACCGCTTCATTATGTTTAATATCATGTGACAGTTCTGTCTGATATCGGGCTGCTGTTGTGGTGCTTTGCACATGTATTTTTTGTGTGATTAAAAAGGTTTTGAAATTTGATGAATAAATAATTTTGATGAATATCCTTATGGTGGTAGACTTCCGCAGGCACAAGCATTCTCCACGGCAACCACTGAACATCCAAGGTATGGACATTGAGGCTGTGGACAGCTACAGGTACCTTGGTGTTCATCTGAACAATAGACTGGACTGGACTCATAACTCAGACGCCCTCTACAGGAAAGGGCAGAGCAGGCTGTACCTGCTGTGGAGACTCAGGTCGTTTGGAGTGGAGGGCCCACTCCTGAAGACCTTCTATAACTCTGTGGTGGCCTCTGCTATCTTCTATGGTGTGGTCTGCTGGGGCGGCAGCATCTCTGCTGGGGACAGGAAGAGACTGAACAGGCTGATCTGAAGAGCCAGCTCTGTTCTAGGATGCCCCCTAGACCCAGTGGAGGTGGTGAGTGACAGGAGAACGGCGGCTAAGCTGTCATCCCTGTTGGACAACATCTCCCACCCCATGCAGCAGACTGTGACAGCACTGAGCAGCTCCTTCAGTGGGAGACTGCAGCACCCACGGTGTGGGACGGAGAGATTTCGCAGGTCTTTCCTCCCCACTGCTGTCAGACTCCACAATAAAGACTTTAACTGATCAAACACACACATCCACACATGTGCAATAACACTAAGTGCAATAATCTTTTCTGGCATCGTTGTATTTTTACTCAGTTGTATATAGCATTTGCATTCTATTTTTATCTTATTGTATATTTTATTCTATTTTATTCTACTGTATATAGTATTTTATTTTATTCTATTCTGTACAGTTGTGTACTGTATTTATTCTAATTGTATTCTAATTTTTGCTTCATAACTTTTGCACTGTCCACTTCCTGCTGTGACAAAACAAATTTCCCACGTGTGGGACTAATAAAGGTTATCTTATCTTATCTTATGTAAACATGTGCTATGGTGTGGTCTCCCTTTGCTTGGGACTTCTTGATGTTTGTAAACATAATTGATATAAAATAAAAACATAGCATACAATAAAATACAACACAGTCATATAACAGGTTGGGAGGATGAGAGTTTTAGACGTGACTAATTATTTGGTGAAACTGTGATATTTTCTTCACCTCCTGTGTTGAGCTCATTGTTTCCTCTGTAGTGACTCAGCTGAGTCCAGATGACTGAAAATGTTCCTCTGCTGCTCCGTCAGACTCTTCTCCTCCTGCTGATCAGCTGGGACACAAAACAGATCTTTGTTAGGCTCCACACTGCACTGAAGAGTCAAAGTGTCTCATATCTGCCAACACAAAGTACAAATTTCACTCTGATTGCTCCTCCTGTGGTTTCCACAAACACCTGATCACCACTTCACAAGTCTCTCCAGACCCAAGGATGCCTCTCTCCAAACTCCACCATTCCCCAAAGTTTGATTCTGTTCATCTGGAAGTTTTCAGTAGGAGAAATTTTCATCACTCATCCAGGTGACGTCTTCAGTCTCAGCTGACTCCAACCTTATAAACAGTACATTTACATAATGACTGAAACTAGCACCACTGAAGGAACAATGGGCTGGGAGGTCAGTTCCTTCATCATTACTATGCAAATTCTCATTCTCATGCTGTGATTGCAGCCATTCCCCAAACTGTTCGTGAAAGGTACTCATGGTCATTGATCAATGAGCTTTTATCAGTGAAAAGACTTTTCTGCTCCAACTTCTCCCAGCATGCTGAGCTAATGATTAGTTGGTGTTTTTCTCCAAACACTCTCTCACTCTTCTCTCAACGTGTTCACAATAAACTGTGAACAGACACCGAGGAGAGCAGCAGAAGACCTCATTCAGGAGCTAAACTCAACATGAACTGAACTCACAGTAAAGTTAGCTCGGTGCTTACCTTTAGATGAGCCCACAAACCGAGAGAAACTCCGTGATGAAGCTGGAACTCTTTCCAAACACAGGAAACAGATCAGGGAGCAGAGACCCACGTGGTTCACGCTGATCTCAGCTCCGATCCAGGAGACAAGGGTGGGCAGATCGATGCAGATATCGATCCAGACGTTGGTAGTGGTTTATGATCGATGCTTTGGTTTGTTTCTCTCCTGTAGATTCACTTCTTTACTTGCTGTGGATGAAAAAGCAGCTCTGTCTGTGCGAACACCTCTTCTTATGCGGCAGACGCACTTTGCTCCACCCCTTTCTTCCTGCCCTGCTGGGATTCGTTACTGTGAGGTCACGTGACTCGGCTGCACACAGAAAATGCATTTTTGCTGCAGAGAGAGTAGTGCTGGGATTTCTGGCTCTTTTTAGAGAACCAGCTCTTTCGGCTCGACTCACTAAAAAGAACCGACTCTTTCGGCTCCGAACCTGAACTTCAGGTTGTTTTGTTGCTTTAATTAATTTATTATTAACAATAATATAAAATTATGCAGAAAAGTAATTACTAATGTAAAAACAAGTGGTTTTATTTATATATGTTTATATATAAATATATACGGTGGCCCCTAGAGACAAAACACGTACAAACTCCAAAACACATTTCTAGCATGGACTGAACTTCCAAAACAGAGCTGCCTAGATCACTTAAACTACACGATTGAAAGCATGTGTGTATTGTTTGTGTATTTATACACAAGCACTCATATATATTCAATTTAAAAAACAGTTCATTTACCTGTTACTACCACAGACCAAATCCGGTCATTGGTACTTCCTGGCTTGTGTAGCCACTAAGTAACAAAAGCTCAACACTGCGCCCTAGCATCCTGGAGCACTTCTGTTGTCTTTTGTACGTGTTTTGGAGCTTTTACGTGTTGTGGAGTTCGGACGTGTTTTGAAGTTTGTATGTGTTTTGTCTGTAGGCGCCACCGTAAATATACTTTTATTTATTCACTCCACATAAAATGTAATAAATAAATCATATAATACAAAAAACAACTATTCACATTTCAACTTTTAACTATTTAAATTTTCAGCTTTTTCCTTTTAAACAAATTTAAAGTGAAACAACACAAAACACTGCAAACCACAACACAATTAAATATAAATTAAAATATGAAAACAAAAAGAAGATGCACATTCTCTGTCATATGGACCTGCATGAATAAACTTTCTGAATCCTTTATCATCTGCAACTGAAAATAGTTGTGGATGATTACTATACCTTTCTAATGTGGCGTTGTTGTCCCTGGCTCTCTTTCTCTCTCTCTCCCTCCCGCTCTGTTCCTGTGCTACTGCTGTAACTACCGCCCCTCCCCCCTCTGCCCAGGGCAAAGCACAAGGCTCGTGAGAGAGAGGGTGAGAGAAAGAAAAAAACCCAAACCACAGCTCCCAAAAAGGAGCCGGCTCGCGTCGTTCACGTCAAAGATCCAGCTCTAAGAGCCATTTCGTTCGCGACCGACACATCACTAAGACAGAGAGAAAGAGGAGCAATGTGTGGAGATATTTTATGGATGTAAATGAAAATGCTGGCGAACAGCTGGAAGGCATGTTAGCACCTAAAGCCAGAGGGGACCACAACAAGCTGTAGAGTTCAACTTTCAGCTCGTTTGTTTGCAGGGTTGTAAAATGGGCAGCATAGTGGCTCAGACCTGACAGGAGGAATGAGCAGTTTGCATGTTCTCCTTATATTTCTCAGTTTTCTGTGGGTACTTTTTCAGCTATCCAAAAACATGCACCTCAACTGGAAACTCAAAGTGAAAAGCTGAGTTAGTTTGAAAATAAAAGAGATCATTTAAAGATTTAACCAATGC